ATCTCTTCTTTCAGTCCCATACAGCAACATTGGAGCTCTATTAACCTATTTCACAATGCTTTCAGTAGACTGACTTTAAATAAATAAAATTTAGTACTATCATTGGATTGTAAACAAATTGTATTTCATCATATTTTTATCAAACAACAGGTACAAACGGTTCACTGATTTTCTCTGTTTCTATCATTGCCGCTTTTCTATTTAAACATATTTTGTTTTCTATGTCTTTATGATTTTTTTTTATTATTTTGCAAACCTCTATTCTTGTTTCTCTGAACTAGAGAGTATTGCATGGAGAATATGTTCCCAACAAACATTCTATAGCGGAATTTCAGTGAGATATATAGACATTTTGAGCAGTCCACTGTAGATTTGTTCAATAGTTACTTAGTAAACCATTAGTGGCAGCTGCTAAAGTGGACTAGCCAAACTAACTACAATATCACATGTTGGAAAGTTATCGGCCGGCTACTTATAGCAGATGCTACTAATAATCCACTAAATAATTGATGAGCAAAACTCTAATGAACGGCTCAAAACATCTACATAGGTCCATTGCAAATCTATATCAAAAATGCTTGCTGGGTTGACTGTATATATTCCAGGCAGATTAGCAGGCATACGGTAAATCAATATCTTACGCTAATTTCCTCAACGGTAATTGTTTTTATAGCGAAGCTGCCTAAGCTTTAACTTAGTTAACGTCAGAGTAAAACCAGTTACCATTATGGTCATAATGATCATAAATCTAGTTATATTTAAAATAAAATATAATTGGATTATAAATTATACAAGTATAAATTATTGAGCATAAATGAATTACAATTTGAAATGTAAGTTTTAGTTTTTAACAAATAAAATTTATAACTTTGTATCCAGTATTTTTTTACTAAGTTAAGTATATCACTTTAATTTCAATACATACCATAACGTTCAGTACATAACATAAAATCACATAGAAGAATAAACTCCCATAATGAACTCTGGTAGTAATTTTAACTTGTAAAAATCTTTGTTTTTAATTTAGGCTCTGAGACCCATATTAAAAGTAATCTACCCTAAGTATCGATCCTTTATTATAATAAAGACGGATTAGAGAGTTTGTTGTCTCAGTAATATGCATATTTCACACGTTTATCTAAACATAACTAACCTAAATACCTAAATAAATTATTTAAAGACGACCTACAAAATAATGTGAATGAAACTAATAATAATGTCATTATTACAAGTTGGAAAGTTGTAATAATAAAAATCATCATTATTTTGTGGGTCTTCTTTAAATAATTTATTTAGGTATTTAGGTTAATTATGCTTAGATAAACGTGTGAAATATGCATATTACGGAGACAATAAACTTTCTAATCCGTCCTTATTATAATCAAGGATCGATAATTAGGCCTTTGCTTTTTTTAATATATGTAAACAAGATTTAATCATCATTATTTTGTGGGTCTTCTTTAAATAATTTATTTAGGTATTTAGGTCAATTATGTTTAGATAAACGTGTGAAATATGCATATTACGGAGACAATAAACTCTCTAATCCGTCCTTATTATAATCAAGGATCGATACTTAGGCCTTTGCTTTTTTTAATATATGTCAACGATCTCTGTATGACGTCAAAAAGAATTTCAATTATAATGTTTGCTGATGATAGTAACTTTTTTATCTCCGGAAAAGTTATTACCTAACTGTGGGTATAAATAAACAATGAGTTAAACAAAATTTCAAAATGGTTTAGGGCAAACAAACTCATATTAACTCAAGTAAAACAAAGTTTCTTTATTTCATCTTTTCTTTAAAAAAAAAAAAGTTCAAACTTCTTTAAACAATAAATAAGAAATAAGTAGCGATAATGTTACTGAGTTTTCGAATATTTTTAAAGACGAAAATTTAAATTGGAATAAACACATCGTCTACTTAGGTAGTAAAATATCCAAAAGAATCGTGACTATATACAAGTCACGTTACTTATTAAAAAAATCACTACTCAAACAAATCTACAACAGCTATGCATTATGTTCAAAGTTACATGAACTACATTAATATAGCATGGGCCATAAAACTAAATTAGAACCTCTCTGTCGTAAGCAGAAGCATGCTATACGTGTCAATAATTTTAGAAATAAAAAAGAACATTCAAAACCCTCTTTTTGAATCAAATGTCTTTAACAATATTGTTTGAACTAAATGTGTATATAATGTTTCAAGTCTTTTTATTTTTCTATTGTCTTTGTAAGCAAAAACAGTATAAACATTTATTACCTACAAATAGTACCATGTTAGAGCCTTCATGCTTGAGCAATTTAAAATAACTTATCGTGTACCTCTTATCGTGTACCTCTTATCGTGTACCTCTTATCGTGCACCTCTTATCGTGCACCTCTTATCGTGCACCTCTTATCGTGCATCTCTTATTGTGCACTTCTTATCGTGTACCTCTTATCGTGCACCTTTTGTCGTGCACCGCTTATCGTGCACCTCTTATCGTGCACTTCTTATCGTGCACCTCTTGTCGTGCATCTCTTATCGTGCACTTCTTATCGTGCACCTCTAACCTATTGTTCTCCACACTTCTAAACAATTTATTTTTATTTTCAATAAATTCAACTACGTAAAAAAAAAAAAAAAAAAATTAAAAAAAATAAAAACTTTTTTTTTTTGTTCTTTTTATTACATTTTAAATAACTATTTTGCAACAATATTTAAACTTCAAATATGTAATTATATATATATATATATATATATATATATATATATATATATATATATATATATATATATATATATATATATATATATATATATATATATATATATATATATATATATATATATATAGGGGAGAGTTGCCTTAATTGGAACACTTAATAAATAAATATTTATTAACCAAAGATGGCTTAACTATGAAAACATTTATGATTTGATTAATACAAACAGACATCCCTACTATAGTTTTAACCACAATTTGACTCAATTGATTGCACTGTTATTGGAAATAAATTTATTTTTGCAAAGTTACCATTTTGTTCCAATCAAGGCAACTGGTTCAGTAAATTGGAACACTTTGATTCTTTCATCAGAACAGGTTCTTTTTTTAAAAGATAAAATCCAGTGAAATCAACAAAAATTTGTAAAAAATGATTTTCATCTTTATAGTGAAAATTTAAACAGTTAATTCAAAACTTATTATAGGATTAGTATTACCCTGATAAATTTAAACTCTACAAACAAAAAGTTGTATAAATCTTTAACTGTTATGACGTTCTCTAAATTTATTGATTAAAAAACACTAAATAAAGTATTATTTAAGTAAGGTTTATTTTTGTTACTAGGTATTTTTTTAATTGTACTCGAACTACTTTTACAACCCTTTGATTTTATTACTGATTAGGTAAGGGAAACTTCAATGTTCCAATCAAGGAAACTTTCGACTATTTTGTTATATCACTACAATAACATGCTTGCAGCAACTTATAAGATAAGTTTATATTGTTTAAACGGTATAACCGTATCACCATAGTTTACACAGTACAATCAATATAGTGTGAACACAAAATTAGATTGCTGAAAAAAAATGACGCAAAAAAACTTTAAATCAATGGTGCAAACGCATTTTATGAGGAATAACTTTCAAAATGTGTCAAAACGTAAAAAATAATGCGTTTTACTAAAAAAATGCAAAATATAGCCATAACTCATTTTTTTTTCAAAAAAAAATGCAAGTATTCTAATTAAGGCGCTGTTACAATTTCGGCAACTCTCCCCTTTATATATATATATATATATATATATATATATATATATATATATATATATATATATATATATATATATATATATATATATATATATATATATATATATATATATATATATATATATATAATCATTATTAAAAAATAAAAGAACGCAGAAAACTATACGGTCTTGTCGTCGAGTACCGCTAAGAAATGAACGAGTTAAAATTTATATAATACTTACAAGTAAATAATAAGTTAACAAAGCAAAACACTTTTTTTACGAGTATATTTTTTATACTATGTTATATTATATTATATTATATTATGAGTATATTTTTTATAAGCATTCTTGAAGATAAGCAAAAAAAAAATAGATAAAATAAAATATTCCGTTATAAATACAAGTCACGTCATATATATTATATATGTAAATTACAGTTGTTAATAATAAATACATAATTTTTATAAATTATTGTTTAAATAGAGGGTAAAAAGCAAGATCATTAAATTATATCAGAAATAAATTATTAAATCTTCAATTGTAAAAATCAGTATAATGCTTCTGCTGACAATAAAGAGGTTTAAGTGTAACTTTGTACTACCCCAAACAATGTTTGCATAATTTATGTGACAATAAATAAACAAGTGAATTGATTGTACTTTAGTATAATTATTTAAAACATTTCTTGCTTTAAACAATATTCCTATATTTTTTGAAATTTTACTTGATAAGTTTTTTTTTGTGATTTTTTCAAGTAATATTTTCATCTATACAAACACCTAGAAAGTTGGTTCCTATTACTTATCTAATTTGTATATTGTAAATAACAAGTTGAGGCATGTTAATTTGCAGTTTATGTTTTTTGATCATAGAATGGAAAAGAATCCATTTAGTTTTATAAATGTTGAGAGAATTTGTTAGTCTTATTTATTTATTTATTTTTTTATTTTTTTATTTATTTGAGTTTTCATGCTATATATATATATATATATATATATATATATATATATATATATATATATATATATATATATATATATATATATATATATATATATATATATATATATATATATATATATATATATATATATATATATATATATATATATATATATATATATATATATATATATATATATATATATATATATATATATATATATTAGGGTGGAGTGATTTTGGAATCAGAACTATAGTAACCCTGGAGTAAATAGATTATCAAAAAATAATAATAATATATAACATGTATTTGCTAATAATGCCTGGAAAATGGCTAGTTTACAAAAATGTACATTTATTAAGACATAATCTATTTTTGTGGAAAACCGCCATTTTTCGAATTTTTTTCAAAGTAGGCATGCGCATTGCGCGTTTTTATGTTGCGTTTAGATTATAAATTATAAATAGAAAATAATTTATAGAAAAAATGCCTAAAAGCAAATCAAGGAAAACTCGTTTAGAAAATAGTCTAAAGTACGGAGGTCTCCCATCAGAAATGCCTTCAGCTGATCTTCCAACATTTCGTCAAGTAATTCAGTTTTTTTATTTCACTGAAAACAATAATCAAATCATTTCAAAACAGAATCTACTAGAAGAGGTTGAAAATTCTCTGAGTACTTTGTGGAATAAAGTTAAACCCACGTCTTCCTCTTCTTCAGAGATATTCAATCTTAAGAAAATTACGAAATCTTTTTGAAAGAGTAAAATCTATAAACCGAGGACGTTGTAAATCTAAAAGTAAGGAGTATCAAGATTTGGTTTTAGATAAACTCTTTGATATTTCATCATGTACTTGTGAGTTAGCAACTGTTTTATGTAATGACAGAGATGTTAAGTGTAGCATCATCAATTGCCAAGTAGAGCACATCTTGTGTCTTTGTAAAACTAGAAAGGTATTTGATTACATTTTTTATATATTATTGTATATACTAAAATATTTGTTGTTTTAATCTGCAATTATTTATTAATTATATATAATTATTTCACTTCAGTTAAACTGAAGTAGTTGATTATTTTCAATAATTGTATTTAAGGTCCCTTTTGAAGACAGGGCATATATTCGTGACCAGAGAAACAAAATTGGTCCTAAAGGTATTTATCAGCTAGGAAAGGCTGATTTAAAATCTAGTACATTTATTCCGGAAAGGTTAGTTCAAGTAGAGCTTATAGATCATGTTGAAATACCTTACGCCCATAACTCATTGATTGATTCTGGTCACATATCTGAAGTTTCATCATCCGATCCAGATGTTTTGGTAACATTTTTATGTATATTTGTATATATATATATATATAAATATATATATATATATATATATATATATATATATATATATATATATATATATATATATATATATATATTATGTTATAATAATCTACAAATGAGTGTTCAATGTTCTTAAAGAACAAAGCAATAGTAAATTAGTAAAAACACTTATCTAATTTTTTTTCTTAAATAACTTGTGTCACCATCAGTAAGTTCATCAGGAAGCTTTCTGACTATAATAATAGAATATAAAAAAAAATTAGATGTGTTTGTACTATTTTATATATATATATATATATATATATATATATATATATATATATATATATATATATATATATATATATATATATATATATATATATATATATGTATATATATATATATATATATATATATATATATATATATATATATATATATATATATATCACAAACAGCACACTTTGTTGGGGCAACCGTTGCCCGGCAACGCTAAAATAGCTTTGTTTCAACGATTTCAACGTTTTTTAAATGTTGATCCTACAAAGTATGCTGCTTGAGATATGACTTTTTTTTCATATTTCAAATACTAAGTATTTTTACAGGTAAATCATTCTGAGGAAGAATATAATCCAGTAAAAAGTTTACAATATAATTTAATGAAACTTGATAGATTTGCAATGGAGGCTGTCAGGTATATAAAATTTTTATACATATTGAGTTTAGATAAGAATTTTTTTATATATACTATATTAAAAGAGTGAAAAAAAAACAAACAATAAGTTTCATTATTTTTCATCCCCAGTAAATTTTTTTTAATATGGGAGGGTGAATATAGAATGTTAAAGGATCCCTTATAGGTAATATACTTTGCTTTTTCAGATTTGTTTATTTATTTCATAGCTTCTTATTTGTAGGTATGATGTCTCATCTCGTGCTGCAGCTGCACTTGCAAATGCTCTACTTCTAGATTATGGAATCATTAAATATGGAGATTTGAATCAAGTTGTAGATCGAAGCAAAATTGAGAGGTAAATACTATTTCATTATATAAGTTAGACAAATATAAATATATCTCTTTATTTAATAATTTATATAAATGCTCATTTACAAAACATTTAATATGATATTTAGCTAAATATAATACTTTGAGTTGTTTCATAGAGAGAAGAAGAAAGTAATGTCAAGATATATTAATCAACATGATAACAATTTAAGTAACTTGGTGTGTTTGGGTGTTGATGGTAAAGATGATAAAAATGTTCTTCAGTTTAAGAATGTCATTGAAAATGGAGAAACTCGCTTGTCACGAGTTACTGAAAAAGAACATCATTTAACTTTTACTAATGAAAATAGTTTTAAAAATGGTTTATATCTCTCTCATAAAAATCTTCCATCAAATGGTGCAACTGGTTTGCTTCAAAGTGAAATTGTATATAATGTTCTGAAAGAGTATGATAGTTTAAATTCAGTACAAGCCCTTCTTCTTGATAATACAAATGTCAATACAGATTTCAAAACTGGAATTGTTGCATGTTTAGAAAAGAAATTAGAACGAAAAATACACCTTATCGGTTGTACTTTGCATCACAATGAACTTCCATTTCGAAAATTATTCAAAATAGTTGATGGCAGTTCAAAGTGTCCAAATAAATTTTCAGGACCTATAGGAAAGCAAGTTTCTATAGATTTCCATCTTAACCCACAAGTGAAGTTTACCAAAATTGATACTCCAGTAGAGATACTAAATATTCCCATTGAAGTGATAAATGATTTAAGCCACGATCAAAGACTATTATTTGAATATTGTCTTGGAATTTCTAAAGGATTTGTCAATAACATATTTTTTAGAAGAAAAATTGGTCCACTAAACAACGCAAGATGGTTGACTTTAGCAATTCGAGTCATGGCTTTGTATACGCGTACTGAAGCACCAAGTCTTGATCATGTAAGGCTTGTAAAGTTTATTGTACAAGTGTATGCATACACTTGGTTTCTTATCAAAAGATCTTCTAAATTTATGGATTCTCCAAGTATATTCTTTAAAATGACAGAACAGATAAGGAAGCAAGATGAAGAAATACAAAACATTTGTTTTAAAAATCTAAAAAAAAATTCATATTGTCTATTGCCAGAGAACTTTTTATATTGTATGCTTAGAGATGAAGAATCTAACATAAGGGAACAGGCAGGGAACATATTTTGAAACTAAAAACGACTTTGTGGTTTTTTAATAATAAATTTTGTTATGCATTTGATGTTAATAAAACATATTTACATAAATATACTTACTTTTTCAATGCGAGGAATATAAAAGTGTGTTTAGGATTTAGGACCAATGCAGTAGTAGGGTAGTGGTAAAGTGTTCGACTCACATTTGCAAGGTATTTATTTTAGAAATGTTTCGCCTTTGCCTATTGAAATCTTGATAAACACTTATTTTCATGAATTTAAGTTTATAGTGTTAAAAACAATAATAAAAAAAAAACTATACAAAAACATGTTCGGATTTTGGTGATGGTTATCCATGGCTTTTTTTATTACCCGTTTATTAAGTTGTTCACTGTAATAATCACTGTTTTCGAATAAAAAATTAAGCACTTTAGGGGTCATAGAAATAATTTTTGAAGGTTTTTGCAAATAGTGTAATGCTTCAGCCTTATCTAAAATCACGATTGGCTAGATATTTTAAACGAAATGGGTACACGTACCAATTACGTTAAAAGTATTTAGTCAAAATACTTTAAACGTAATTGGTACAATTTATTAATCCTTTATGAATAAAGGATTAATAAATTGTTCAATTTATTAATCCTTTATTCATATTTGGTAATTATTAATTACTTACATCTTGGATAATCTTGAGGTCAAAATTACTCAAGTTGTTTGTAAGCACTTTCAAGACCTATATAACTATCTAAATTCTTTAGTATATAATTATACATAATTTTCAACTAATTTTGCCTTAAAAATCTAAAAATGACTTACATAAGTAGACTTAGTATATACAGTTTAGTTATATAAGTAATTTTAAGTTTGCTGTTCAAAACTTGATTATGTTTTTTATATTAATAGTTATGCGTTTAAATGAGTTATAAAAACTAGCTAAAAATAAATTAAATGTTTAAACGCATATATATTGCTTATATACCATTATATTAAATAAAATTTTTATAATTTATTTGACCATTTTATAATGAATAAATTTATTTGAAAAAAAAAACTTTTGACTGGTTTGACTTTTAATAATTGATTTCGTAAATTGTATAAAAAACGTGAAAATTAAGAAAAATTGCGTTTTTTTTGCATTTTTTCAAAGTCGATTAAGCTTGCCATTTTTTATTTTGAAAAGCTGAAATTTTTTATGAGCTCATATTTTACCCTGTTGAACTTACTCCCGGGTTACTAAAGTTGAATTTCCAAAAAAGTATGCAAATCACTCCACCCTAATATATATATATATATATATATATATATATATATATATATATATATATATATATATATATATATATATATATATATATATATATATATATATATATATATATACAATAGAAACATAGGTTTGCAATCTATCAAAGGACTTTATAATTTCTTTATTAATAAGTATAATCTATTCATTTTAATAAAATTTCCTAGATGATTAAAAAAAAAAAATAAGGAGAAATTAAAGAGAGTTTCTCATCGGTTACTTAGTAAATTGCCAAAAACATTCTAACAAGTGATATAGTGGTTATTCATATGTTAGCCACTTTTGGCTGCTGCCACTAATGGGCCATAAATGATTAACAAAACTGCAATTAATGAATGATTACATTATATAATAAAACAAATGATTATTATATATGATTACATTATATAATGATTACATTATATAATGATATGAATGATTACATTATATAATAAAACAAATTGATTACCAAAACTGCAATTACCTAAAATGCTTAAAAAAAGTCTAATTTAAAAAATTAATTAAGTCATAACAGATATATAAGAGACAGGTGGGTAGAAAATTTCCTTTAGTGTAAAGGAAATTTTTTACCCTCCTGTCTCTTATATAACTGTTACGACTGGTTTAATTTTTTCAATTAGACTTATTTTTTAGTGAAAACTTTTGAACTTCACTATAACTAATTACTAAAGTTAAGTAATTAGTTATTAGCGAAGTTCAAACCTTGATATTGTAATATTTCAAAAAGTTTATTAACTAATGTACTGGTCCAATTACTTCGAATAATGTACTGGTCCAATTATTTCGTATCTAAAAGTTGTTAATTAAAGATATTGAATTATCAGCAGAAACTCTCTGTCTTATTAATAGGTTTTCCTTTTGAAAAATATGACTATGCATGAGATTCTGCGATGTCTAAGTCTTTCAAACAGTCAGAACTTGGTTCTTGATATAGTATATCAATTATTATACTTGAAATACTATATCAAGTGCCAAGTATATACTTAGTATATATATAGTATATCATATGCCAGTTTTTAACTATTTCTTTCAATATCTGTATCAATTTCAATATCTGTATCAATATTAACAAGTAATTATATATTTAAAAGTATATATATATATATATATATATATATATATATATATATATATATATATATATATATATATATATATATATATATATATATATATATATATATATATATATATATATAAATTAGCAAGAACCTGTCTTCTATAAGTCGCTTTTCATTAGGTGTTTTTAAAATTCTCCTTGCATCTTTGGGTTTCCAAACCTTGATTTGGCAATATTTCAAGAAGATCATTAACTAATGTACTGGTCCCATTATAGAATAGCACAATGTTGTCGAGTAAAGACATTGAATTCAAAGAATTATCAGGATAATTGTTCTATGTATCATTAACAGGTTTTCCTATTGAAAAATTTGATTCTGCATGAGATGTCTAAATCTTTGAAATTATTAGAACTTGGTTCTTGATATAACAATACTATACTAGGTTCTTGATATAGCAATACTATACAAGTAATTGATAACAAAAATAAAAACTAGCTAGAACGTGTCTATTAGTCGTTGTAAAAAGACTTCTTTTGTTATTGATAATAAACCTTATAAAAAGAGCTTTATTTAAAAATTTTAGGAAGTTTTAGCGCTTGCAAAATTTTTTTGAATTAAAAAACATTCTGGATATTTTTTGGACGAAAAAATTATTGGACGCGAAAAAGACGTTCAAAAGACGTTTAGAATTTTAATGGGACGGACGGACCCGATTTGAAGGTCCTAATGACGTCTTTTTTACGTCCCGTGTCCACTGGGTCTGTTGTATAAAATTCTTTCTAAAATTTTAGAAAAAACAGAGAGGATCGAAACTGGACGATCGTGTTTTAAATTAGTATTTTCTTCTTCTTTAAATATAGGAATAATTTTTGCCATTTTTCAATCATCAAGAAAAGCTCCCTGATTAAAAGTATTAATCAGGGAGCTTTTCCCGCATAATCCTACACAAATATATCCTATATAAATATATCCTATATATCCTATATAAATAATTCAGTTGATTCTGATTACGACTGACATTATCAGAATCAACTGAATTATTTGACTTTAACAATTTAAAAGCACTTTCAAACTATTTAAAAAACAAATCAAAAAAAATTTAGATTCGAGTTTAGAGGGTAATATGCTTTCTTTATTAAACTTTTAGGGTTTGGAATTTTTCGTCTTGGTTTGGTCCTACAGACACAAAATGTTTACTAAATTTGGAAGTATCTATGTTTTGATTAAGAAAAAGATTATCATCTACTTTAAAAACTGAGGGCAAAGGTTGCAACATTTTTTTAGTGTTAATTTTGTTTTTAGGCCCTCAGTTATTAAATTAGATCTTTTTCTTAATCAAATAGTTGCTTTCAAATTTAGTAAACATTTTGTATCTGTAGGCTCAAACCTAGCCGAAAAATTCCGAAAACAATTCGAAAAATTCCGAAAACAATCCGAAAAAAATTCACTAAAACAATGTCGCAATCTTTGATAAAGATTGTGACCAAAAAATTTGAAAAGATTGCGACATTGTTTTAGTGTTACCAGTAATTTTGTTTTTAGTTGCCTATTGCGTTTTGAGTTTAATTTGTACTTTTCAAGTAAATCTGTGTTGTATATTTTTGTGTGTGTTAAGGTTGTTTGAATTCGCTCCGATTGCAACTAACTGGTTTTCAATCCAATGTGTTTAATTTAATGATATAGTTGCTCAGCAGGTTGTTCAGCAAGTATTACTCTCAATGTAAAAAAAATATTTTCCACCAGAGTTAGAATAGAGGCAATAACCATCTTCTTTGATCTCTTTTTGGTGGTACTTTCCATTATTATCACACACCATTATTTTTGTAACATATTTTCTATTAATAAAGAATATATATTGCCTTTCATTTTTTTTGTTCTTATCTTATCTTACAGACCACCAATACTCTTTCACTTGAAATTTTTATTATAACCCAGAGCAAAGTCTGTATCAGGAATGTTGTATTTAAAAAACCTTATTTATGGCTGCTTTTAATGTTGCAGTGCCTATTAATGCAGTTGCTCTGTTACTTATAACCAGTGCTGTAGCTAGTTAGTTGGAGACTGTTATTAGGGCCCTAAAATCTTGAAAGTTTTGCTTTAGGTATAATTTAAAAAAATGTTGTTTAAATTTGCCATAGGGTCCCCTAAATTAGCTAAGCTCCTCAATCACCACACCCCCTTGTAAGAATGTGTGGGGTAGCCTAGCCACAGCTCTGCTTATCCGAAATGCTGACAAGGCAGTATGATTTATATTTAACATATTTGGCTTTAGAGAATACAATTTAGAGATAATTTGTATATTTGGTGAATAAATATTGTTTTTAAACATTGTCAAAGTGATATGACTTTAACTCCATACTATGTTTAAATATGAGTAATGTAATAATAAATAATCTCAGTTCTAACTCTCTTTAATATATTTTTCTCTTTAATATATTTTTAACTCTCTTTAATATAATTTTCTTTCTTATGATGATGCTGTTTTTGTTTTAATGCTTCTCTTTTATCAACTGAACATACTTGAACATACTTGAATTGCACTTTAAAAAATTGTGAAGCTCAATAACATGAACTTTTTTTCCATTTGCAAAAAAAAAGTCTGTAGTTGCAACCACTTCAGTTTAATTTTTCGTGTAATTAAACATTTACACCTTGCAACTTCATCTGATATCTCTTTATGATTAGAGACTTGGTTTAAAGTTCCAGTACCAAATGCCAGTATGTATATATACAAATACAAATGTATATATACAAATGTTTATATACATTTATATATATACACACACATATACATATAATATTATATATATATATATATATATATATATATATATATATATATATATATATATATATATA